AGAATGAATCAATATTTTGCACAGCAAGCAAATACAAATAACCAGATTAACCACGTTCGTTGGTGTTAAAAAAGAGATTTGAATATGAAAGCTGTTCTTATAGTAGTAGAATTTCCATTTTAAAATGAGATTGAAAAAGAATTGTGAATGTAATAATTCTTTTCAAGACAGTGATTAAAACGAATGACTGGTCTACTTTCATAGCGACATAAAGAACATATTTTAAACTACATTTGTCATTGTAGTAAACCTTTTGCTTCTTTAAACTGATGTAAGAAGAATTTAATTGCACTTATCAGTAAAAATAATTTGGCAAAAATATCTTTAAGTTGGTTCATATTTTCTGTAGTGCTTGGGTTTTTTGGCAAGGTACTGCAATCATGTCAACAGGTGCATATAGAGAACAGCGAACGTTTTATTGACAAATGGAACAGTACTTTATGTACGTCTGTCGAACCTGTCATGGTACAAAGCTATTTGTTATGAGATTACGAGTTCCCTAGTGCCAGATGAGACGCGCCTTACATAAAACACATACTTAGTTCTACCTGCTAAGGAACTAGACTTGTCCGCGTCCTACCATTTCTATCGTGAAGGTTAGATCATACAAGTTGCACTTGCTCCCCTTAGGAATTATATATAATCTAAACGTTGAAGACTTTCTGAGGCAATTCAGTCCTAACTTAGTTTATGGAGGACGGATAATAGCGATGTTGCTAAATTCTCGAACTGTGGCCGTTAGAACAAACCCATGTTACCAAGCAAAGGTTAGTAATTGTGCCTTCTGATTTACAACACTCGAGACGAGGGGGAATATACACGTAATGTCATCCTTTGTCATGCAGAGGTATATAAATTTATCTTCGAGACGAACAGTGTGTAATATGACTCAATATGTACACACTCGAGGGAGAAATGTTTTCATTTAAATTCCAGTAAATTTTACACCCTTACCCATGACATCGAACCGTATTTCCATCAATACGTAAATGTCATTCTGCCACGAAAGCAAGCATGTTCTCTTTGTGTTTCTCTTTGTGTTATTAATGTTATTGATGTAGTTGCCATCAAAGGAATAATATCTAATTACGATTCTTTTTTCTTGGCGTATATGCAGAGGCATGGTGAATACTAAGTAGATTATATATAAAGCATGGAAATGTTCGGACTTTAAAGGATAAAACGAGATGATGGAGTAATTCAATGGTTTAGCATGCAAGGTATTAATGGATTGACAGGTTGTCCTTGTTGATGGATTGTGTGCTTTTTTATTGACAATTGTTTGAAACTGATTGTGGGTTTTTAATAGTGGAGTTTTAATGACAATGACTGGGAAATGATTGTGAGATTTTGATGGTGGAGTTGTACTGAGAAAAGTTGAGAAATGATTGTGGGATTTTGATGGTGGAGTTGTAATGATATTGGTTGGGAAATGATTGTGGGTTTTAGATGTTGGAGTTGTAATGACAATGGATGGGAAATGCCTGGGGTTTCGATGGTAGACGGATATTAATGTTTAGGATGTGGGGATATGATTGGGGACCTTTTTTAATCTTTTATAGTCGACTGCTATTGACGGTGATGGTAGACAGGATTGAATGTTGGAGGGTGGGTGGGGGGATATGATTATTGAACGTTTTCTTATATATATGACTGTCTGTGGTATGAGAATTGAGATGTTTCATGATGATGTGGTATTGACGTCTGTGGGGAAATTTGATATGATTTTCACAGATGAGTGGTATTGGATTTAAAGGGGTGGCAGTGTTTCCATGCTGGAGTGGTATTGTAGATGGTGATGGTTAGATTGTTAACTTTTAATGTGGAGTGGTATTGAAGTTGGAGAAGGTTGATTTATCGGCTTTTAAGGGTGTAATATTATTCAGGGTGGTGCAGAAGGAAATGTTGAATTCATTGATACAATTATCGCATAACACGCGAGAAATTCTGGTGATAACATGTGTTCTGCCCCTTTTTCAACATTTAGTATTGTTACAATGGGAAAGCCTTTTGTACTTTAGGGTCAAGCAATAATTAAAAAAAATGCTGTATTACTTCTTTTATATTTGTTTTCATCCTTTTTATTTTTTTGAAGCAGGGTCACTTTGTGTTTAACAAGAATGCATACATTCGTACTAATATATTATTGTATTTAATTGACACATTATCTGTTATCTAATTGTTATTTCAAACGAAAAAACGATGAAATTCGTCCTCAAAATTGTTGTTACAAAATGACATTTTCTGTTTTCCCTCGCGATACCTGCCCAGTGTCCTTTTTCAAACTTCAAAGATGATTTTCTAGATTTGGATACTTCCCTAACCTCCTCCCTTCATGTAGCCTAGCGACGCCATGATTCCATTTAAAAAATAAGCATGTAACCTGGATCTTAACATATTGTACGAGTCTCTTTAAAAACAACGAATAACTCATTCGCGAAGTATTTTGAAGTATTTCGTAACCATTTAACCTTACAGACCTAATTTTCACTATCTTCACCAAGCTGTATGATACGCGTGATATTAATTACCCTGTTGTGAATTTTCATTCTCTGGGTAGCAACAGCCATGCCTCCCAAACCTGTTTTACAATTGATTAAAATTTCAAAGGTTTATCCTTAATATAACGATTTTTCGTGCAAATTTCGATAACTGATTAACTCACAACATGGGGTACTGAAAGATGTAGGGTGATGAATATTATGGAGAAGTTTTACTGTCTTTTGAAAAGGTTTAGGGCGTGTTCGATGCTTGTTCGCGTGCCTGTTTGTCCCGTTACTTACTCGGAAGGATCAATATCTACAGGGTTGATGTCATCAAGAAGCAGAAGACGCTTATCCTTCAAGCCACCTGGTCCTATTCTCATACATTGGAGAGTGATTGAAAGAACGTTAGAACTGTGGTGGGTTAGAAGTGAAGTACTAACCCTACTGCAGCATGAATGTTTTATGAAGACTGATAATGCAAATCGAGTGTACGTTCGGTGTCCTGTGTCATGGTTGGCCGGTTTGTGATAGTGACAATATGTGGCCTTTCCTTCCGCTCAATGAGGTTTACCCAATATACTGCAAGCGTACCTATTTTAGCGGTATATTAATTTAGCGCTTTGCATGCTGAAAGTATAGTGATACATTACTATTGTTGATTACAGCTTCTGAAATTTTATTTTTACAGCAAATTAATTGATGTGCTATTTCATCATTGTGTTCCTTTGCTAATAAGTTAGAATATGCAAAAAATTGCCAAATGAAATAAATTTCTTTTTTCAAAATGAGATCATTAAGGAAAGAAGTTTACAATGAAGACTTATGTCAATAGATCGACAATTCAATGGCGGACGTGTTTACTTAAGTGTTGTTCACTGCCATATGTGGCCTAGATATGATCGCGAATCTAAATTTATTCTGAATTATACAATGGAAGGTAAATAATCCATCTTTGTTCTATCTGAAACCTGTGGATTAAATCCTTGAAAGAGATTGCCAATGTGAGATCAATATTGGGTTTATCTGCCTGTAATATCGGGTCATACATATGTTCATGTCTTAGGATTGAATTTTTCAGATTTGGGCCAAGACCGTTTTGGCAGACGAAATCTTTCGGGGCTTTGGCCGACACCAGCTGTGGTAGACCAGAGTACGCCAGAGAAACATCACAGGGTTTCCACCACAGCACCAGACTCTCACAGGATATCGGAGCTTTGTCCATGAGGGTACTTGACTTTCGGAGTATAACGGGCTGGATTTTTTTTTATGTCTACTGACAATTCCAGCAGAAAAATCGCCCTGAACAACCAAGACAACATTAACTTCATTTAGGTATGCTTCCAGTGAAATCAATAACAGCGATATTGGCTGTTAACTTGTCCAGTGATCAATGGGGCTGATTTCATATATTTGCGTCGGCTGGATTCCAAGTGTGCATGCATTCACGTGATAGGAAATCTTTGAAAATAATTCTTTGTGTAAATACCGTGGCAGTGTTTGCACGTCCATTGCCTGTCTCCCATTGGAACACTTGTTTGGACATCTTGTGTTTTCTTTGCTCAGTACTGTAATAAATGCCGCGATCTGTCCATGCATTAACATCGTGCCCCTGAAGAACACCTTTTGCGGCTTGAGACTGGCTTGAATAATTTCCATAGGTTGTTTTCTGTAACACGTTAGACCACAATAAGAATACAGGTGTTCTAAACGAATCAAATTTGCTTTCGTGTAAACAAAATCACTCTTGTGTACCTTCATGGGATTTTTAATAGAAAAAAAGAAGAAAGCTGTCTGAAAATTGATTTTTAAGGATTACAGAACAATGCATGAATTTGTTTGATCCGCGGTATTACGAGGGACACATGTTTACAACACACCCTTGAACTTATACCACCCCAGCTTTATTAGATATACTGGAATACTATTACTCCAAATTTAACTTTCATGACTACAGTGAGAGCCATTTTGAGGACATTCATAATAAAATTGACCACCAAGGTCGGTATTCCTTCATAAAATTCAGGATCAGCGTCCAGTTTGATTGGTTAGTCTTTAATCAGGAAGTTTTGTCAAGTGGGCATGATAGATTTATTGGAGACGCGTGTGCAGGTATCATAGCGATCGTGGACCCTTTAAATGACTTGTGGTAGACCTAAACGATAAATAACGGAATTTGTCATGTTTAAATAACGGCCTAGTCTACCTGTGGCTTTACTTAACTATGAAACAGAATAAAGATATGCATGAGAATATTTACCTGTTATAAATATCACTATAGGAGATATTACCGGTGTGTATGTATCGTACCACTTATTATTGGACATTTTTCTTATATTACAGGTAAACTATCTGACGTCACACAGGTGTATATGGTCTGATCTACCTGTACATGAACTATGTATGTATTAAACCACAATAGCGAACAATATACCCTACACGTCAATTCTGTCGTCTGAATGATACAATCATCGGCAAATAAGCTTCTTATATCTCTTCACGCATGCGTAGAACAACATGAAATCGGATTCTAAATCAATGACGGTAGAAACTCCAGTGGGATCAGTTCCTAAAAGACCGGTGTACAGTCGACACTCGACCAAGACAGTGCCGAGACGACAGTGGTTAGGGGCACGCAGGAGAATCAGTTCAGTTAGTTTTGATATATCACCTATCGAAGAGAACTTTACTGAGGACAATGTTATAAGTTTCGGGGGAAAGAAGGATTACAACTGCAGAAGGATGAGTGCGCCCGAGCTCCCCCCTATAGATTACCGGGCTAAATATTCTCCAACACAACTAGTGCTGCAGGGATCCTTACTCCGGCGGACATCCTACAACGGTCAATCTGGTAGTCATCCACACAGTGCAACGAGTGATGGTTCCCTGAGGGGCCAGACCGCCAAGTCTCCCCACAGTGCTAATTCGTCCTCATCTGGACAGAGTTTTGGACAACAGGGAAAGTCAGTCAATGTTGGTCTAAATAGGGGAAAGACTTGGTGTGTTCCGGAGCAGACAGACGTCGGAAGTCCTCGGATAGACCAGGGCAAAAGAAAACCCATAGGAGGTACATATAATCAGATGACTCCACGATCAACAAGATTCCGGACTTCACGTCTGTCCAGTAAGGATAATTCCTTGTCCAGCGGCAATAATAACACGACGTCTAACCGACGTCCATTACAACATTGCAAAAGTGACTCGAAAATCATCGCTCCTATTGAAGAGTTCCAAAAATCAAAAACATTTATCAAACGAAATAATAGTGAACAGAAATTGAACGACAAAAACGCAAAAAATAACCAAAGAACGTTGTCAATTGACAAAACTGAAACTCTAACACGAGGTAAAACAACTGCTGGCAATGTTAGTGGAATGAGGAAGTATTCATCGACTTTTGTCTTAAACATCCATAACAAAAATAGTGAAATTGAATCAAGGACTACAGAACACGAGAATGATGATTCTGACTCGGATTCTAACAAAGATCAATACATCATAAACTGGATCATAGGAGTACAATCGGAGGAAACAGAAATTCCACCGGAACCGGAAATAGAATATCATGACGTTCCTCCACAGACAGACACAGCAGTCCATATAGTGTACGGAGACGGATAAGATCTCTGTACATCCGTGGAATTTATCAAACGGATTTATTCATCATTAAGTTTTTGAAACTTACAAACAGAACTATGTTTAATAACTTATACTTGGTTGTTTTTAGGACGACCACGTAACTATGACGACCGTTCTCGTGGTAAGTTGTTTATTGTTTGTTTACCCGACACATCTAAGCTTAAAGCGAGTGTGATATATCTCTGGTCGATTTGTTACTTATTGTGTGTATATTGTTATGTTTATAAAGGATTAAAATAACACGGTCACGTTATCAATAACAAAGCACTGTTATTCTCTGACATGTTCTGTGTCGTCCTGGTCAATTCTGTCGCAGTTCAAAATAAATAATCTCTTCATCAATCAAAAACGATAGAATAGTATTCGTTTTTGAGATATTTAACCAGCTCATTGTTTCAATCAGATTTCAAATAACTTTTTAAGTAAAACCATCCGATGCTTAAAAAGTCAATGTAGCATTTTTAATATGGATGTTCTACCTTGTAAATTGAATAGCCTTTTTGTCCCTTTTAACCTGGTGCTCCGCTATTACAATACATACTGTTTTGCAATGATCGACGCCCAATATCGACAACGCATCTATTGTCAGAGAATTTCAGTCCATCAAATAGAGGCCTGTTTGTTTAGAACCAAAACAGCTGAAACGGGGATTAAAAACATTTGTGGAAAATTTAGAAAACAATGCCGGTGGAATGTCAGTCATGTTTACGTGGTGTATCATGTTTTACACACGTAAAAAGCTGACGTGTACCTCTGTCTGACGTCATACTCAATTACATATTGTTAACCATCGTTTCTGTTGTTTATGGTTCGCAATGAACGGTCTCAATTCACCATTGTTTAACGTGTGCGTATTGGGTAGACATTGGGACGAGAGGTCCTATATTTAATAAGTGTGAGAGGTGTGTGGGACTCCCTGACGTATGGAGTCCAGTGTTCAAACTAGTGTTTATGCTTTATCTGTGATAAATTAGCTATTTCCCCATTGTTTATATTTTTAAAAATGTACTGCAATAATGTGTAATGGTGAAGTTATCCCACAATTCTTACATCCATCTTTGAAAGTCAGAAATTCAGCTTTTAGGCTTAGAGCATCATATGAGAAAAAAAAATAGCACAATCAAATATTAAACTTGTTTATTTTATAGTATCAAAATTTTGTTAAGTGTCATGAAATTCACGACATGTTCACGTGATTTTAGACAAATTGGCAGTGTGTGAATTTTCCGTTTAAATGATCTTGAACTTTTGTGATAAGGAATTTCAATCGTTTCTAAGATTTGAATTTTTACTCGTTCAACTCTGTGTCAGCCTTAACCCAATATATATATGGCGCCTGGATTTTCTGCCAAAAAGATAATGTCGAAGTTGTGGTTCACTTTTACCTGTGTCGCATACCCTATAGAGACGTTACCAACTCGGGTTCCAACTTACCCAACCTAAGGTACTGGCCTATCGATTACCCATTAAACTCCAAACGTACCTCCGCAATAGGAGAGTTGTCGGATCTATACCAGCTCAATAGGACGCGGCAGGGAAACATGGTATCCATACCACAAATGCAGTTTAGGTAATCGCAAAATAGCTTTAATTGAAATACACATTGCAGTAAATAGGAGCGCAAACTACTTTCTGATCATAATCAATAGACACGATTCTCTCGCATTATGTGCGATTGAACTATGACTGTCAATATTGCCGTTGATAAGCCTTCCACCTCGGCGTTCTAAACACGGGCTTGATCTAAGTCGGTGTTCTGATTGAACTCTTGGTAGTTTCAGACAACGAGCTTATGTTTTCGAAGCTGACACAGTCATGCAAAATAAATCAATGTTAGTTTTAGGAGATTGTAAATCTGTTTTATCTCCTAGCACAAAGATATCCGATTCGCCCGTATTTTATCTACTCATTGTTTACTTAAACACCTCAACACGATTTACAACTCCTAGAATTCTCATCAAACGTTATGTCATTATAATCTTCTAAAGTATCAGTGATTTTCGTCATGCGAGCAATTAAGACATTTAGGAGTATATATATATATATGTAAGGATGGGCGATTGGAGCGGAAATCCATTTAATGTGTCCACTAATAAGCCCATTATATGATTTTCGCTGACAACACATGCGGGCATACATTTAAAGCAAGGTATAAACTTGGAAAGTTAGGGACTCAGCTCGAGTGGACAGAGGTCATTACCCTTATCTGTCCACCAACTAAATGACCAGTCTGTTTATAAATTCCATTTCTCAGACTTCAATAAACATGAACAGTCACAGTGACGTCACCAATTAAATGCAATGTATAAATTACCTACCTTAATGGGTCATATAACCCAGGGGGATATACTAGTGTACGTTTGAAGTAACAGTTAATGTTTGAATGAAAAGGAAAAAGGTTCTTCTTCGAATTAATAAAGAATTTACACACAAAAAAATAACTAAGACTTAATCATACAATTTATATGTAGAATCATTTAATGTTTCTTATGGTTACCTCTATATTTAACTCAGTGTTTAACCTTGAAAATGATGTCCTAAAGTGTATATACTGTGTTGTATAATAAATCTCGACATAACAGATATATCGCCATTAAGATAATTCTATTCAGACGTACATACAAACTTATGCTAAATTTGATGGAATTGAATTTCTATCTAATTATATTCATTAATTATACAAATTGAGTTGTACAAACCTAACAATTTAATTACGCTTGATTTCTTCTCAGCAATACTGTAAACGGTTAATATTTCAGTGAGAGGTATTTTTTTCGAACCGGGCAATTTTTCCAAAACCTGTTTTCAGTAAATTATTGCACGCTATTTTTTTCTTTTATAATAAAACGTCACTGCTTACTTAAAACGCATATTTTTAAATAAATATCTACAGAGATTAAATACGTATCTGATTAATTATAGACATTATACAAACATCGAATTCCGTTAGAATTACAGGTGTAGTTGAAAATGGAAATGGGTCATCGATATATATAAACTTTGATAAGTGTATTGAGATTGCGATAGACAAGAGGTGTATTAGTGGTACTTACCGCTGATCACGTACTCGTGGAATGGGCTCCCACTGAGAAGTACGTGCGCGGAGGATGGTAGTCTTCCAACCCAACACCAGTAACGGAGTAGGAATTTCCTCTGTGTTACATTTTATTGAAGTTTGAATGTTGAAAAAGCCCACCCCTACCAACCAACCCTATCCACCCCCGAAATAAACAAATAAATCAATAGAATGAAAATTTAAAAAAAAACGCACATCCTCCTTCACTCACATACTCAAAGCTATTTTATCAAAGAGTGTTCATTCTGACACTGTTGTACAAAATCATCGTAAACAGGAATCTAATACACACATTATTGTCAGTTTTTGTTTCAAATTTTCAGTGGTTGTGAATTTTTTCACGATTTCTGGTCGAAAAGAAAATACCTGTTTGATAACAATGAATAATTGGATAGCTTTAATCCGAAGTGAATGTTTAGTCTGTTCAAATGACCCTAATCCTAGGATTATTGTCTAAACGATTACAGGTTGTACGGATTACAGAAAATCCCCAATAATCGTTGGTTCTATTAGACGTCAATTTCACGCACTGTGTGAACCATTTCAATCAGTTGGAAACAATTCATATTTCTAATTAATTCTTCAAATTTGAGCCTAATTTTTAAAATCTCGTAAATAAGTTTAAAGGTTTAAAGATTGGGCAGTTTTTGATACAGAGACAAACATGTTAGAATCAATTTATCTTCATATTTTCAATTTGTTAATGGATAATATCTTAAAAGATTTATTACAGAGATATGAAGCTCAAAATAGTTTTATTATTGAGTATGAAAACTTATTTGACGAGAAATGAATGGAATGGCTAACACATAAATAAGTGGGATCAATTCTGAATCATTTGGCGACAGTCACACACATATAAGTCAATAAATGCGATATATATCTTGGGGTATTATACAACTTGACGGCAATAAAATATGTACTTTGCCCATAACAAGGCACTTGGTGTGCCATTTCGATATTTTTATTGCCGTATCAAAAGTCATTCATAATAGTGTCAGGAAAGCAAATTTTCCTGAGTTCAATAAAGCAAGCGCCTGTAGGGGGTGTACGACAGATACCATTACAGGGAGGGGTCAGCGGTTAATTATCTCTATTATCAAGACATATTACGGAACAATGCATATTAAGATTACCTGTCTACAGGTCGTTGTATTTTTGTTCATATTTCATATATATGTTTTGTACACATACTTGACCCATGAACTTTCCACACAGTATATTTTTGACCTATGACCCTATCGATCGGCGCGTGTCCAATTATGAAGTTCGTGTGGATTTATCTGTTTGAGGTGATACAATCACCCATAGAGAACAATAAGACATGATTCACCCAAATCAACAATTCGATATTAAACAAAAAAACTTTGATACAATAAAAATACTTTATCATTGTTAAATTGCCTACTCAGAACTTGGAAATCACCGCCAGTTCCTCGCTAATGCATGACCTTGAACGGGTCGAGACCTTAGGTTGGGTACGGTTGTGCTGATTAATGGTTTAAATAAGAACACACATTTTTTGATTGAACGATTTGCCATATAAGGCATGATTGTATTGTTATGATATGTAGGTATGTTAATATATTGTCTTTCATAGAATAGACTTCATGTTTTGTTTCTGTCATTTTTGTATCTTTACCACATCGCTTTACTAAGCTTCTGTGATATACATCGGGTTTTTAACCTAAACACAAAAGACAACATTTTTATTCAGAATTTTAAAGAATTTTTTATTTGAAAACATGTTTGGGCCATCTGGTCAATCTTTGGTTGATAAAAATGGCAAAAAATATAACTAAAATAAAGACATCGTTCTCCGAGTAAAACTCGTCATTTGGTGTAGCAATTCAGACAGCTGAAATCATATTAATTTTAACCCGAGAAAATGTCAAAATTGGCGAAT